CTTCCAAGCCCGAACACAGAAAGTAGCTCTTATCACAGCTGGTATTGGTGGTGTGGTAACCATTCTTGTTATCATCGTTATTATCATTTGGATGATATCATACCGATTTAATCGAGTTGAAGAATCATCGCAACCGGAAAAATGTCCGGTTGAAGAAAATACTCATACTAATTTCCTATATGGGCGGGTTCCAAGTGAACAACCAAGGTTGGTTTGGGTAGAAAAATAAGAATTTTTTCCTTTATTTTTGTATTAAGTTTTAAGTTTTCGAATTACATTAATCATTATTCAGTAATCCAACTAGTATAACATACACTTCGTTCCAATAATGTTTGTAACATATGCGATAATTTGCCAATAATGTTTGTAACATATGCGATAATTTGCCACTAACTCTATCATCTTGGCTTTCTTGTTGATTTTTAAACTATCTTCCTCATCCGCATAGTGATTCCATTTGCAGACAATATTGATATCTAGTAACGAAGGTATTCTTTTATTTATTCCTAATATTATTTTAGGCCAATAGGTTATTATTATGAAGATGATGATGAGTATGACATGAAAACGATGTTTGTGGGTGAAGAAGAGAAGGAAATGGCGGAAAGAGTACGGCATGCTCAGGCGCATATGTATACGCCATCGAATAATAGGCTTGATTAAATGATTAAATTTATCGGTATTTGTTAATTTCAAAATTTGACTGATTTAACTGAAATTCAAAAGAAAAAAAATCTCACAGCACACTTTTGTACACGTGGTTAAGCTAAAGCAAGTATTGAATGGAAATTCATTAAAAGGGAAAAAAGACGAAAGACCTTAAATTAGCAATGATTGGTGTCAAGCAACTTGGATAAACCATCTGTTGTGAATGAAATTCAAATCGTAATTGAAATTTTGAATTTTTGAATGGCGCCAAATTGTATTCACTATTATTAGTACTTATAATTAATTCAGCTTATCACATTTATTGATCTAACTAAACTATAAAATTATAGGTGTACCTTTTCATACAGCTATTTGATAACCACCTTTTACTAAATCCCTCTTCTCTCATTTCTCCTCCCCTATTCATCCATCTCTTCTATCCTTTTTTCCCGTATCTGATCATTAACCTTTGAAGATTATGATAATAATCTATGGACAAAATACTTGTGTATAACTTCTGTTTCTTTAAAGGGAAGCAATTAATTACCTGTTATATGTTGTCAAATAATGCATTTTTAATTTCATTTTTTGTTGAATTTCGGTATTTTCATTTTTTGCTCAAATAAAATAGTGTACCATATACAAATTCTGTATGAATGACTATGTTCATCAAATAAAATACGTAGCTATCAATTTCTTTTTTCTTTTTTTAATTTGTAGGAAAACAAAGGAGAAAGAAACGTATGATTATATGAATTTCCATTACGAATTTATGATTTTATTTGCTGGAAAAGAAAATATACATACAACTGGATACAAAGAAGTAACCTCTGGTACCGATATATTTTGTATTTAAGTGGTCGGAATTACTTTTGTATAATAATGGGACAACTAGGTTAAGGTAAATTTTAATACAAACTATCATTAGAATAAGAGAAAGTGCAATATAGAGCCTGATTAGGAAAATATTAATGAGGTAAAAAGAACGAAAGGGATATTTGAAGACTATTCAAAATCTAAGTTAAATCCTCGAGAATTCATCGAGAAGGAAGAATGATCATACATAGAATTCGGGGATAATTTAAGGGGAACGTAATTAAACTTGCTAAGTAAAACCTAAAATATACGATAGAAAAAGGGAGTCTTAAGCATGTTATTGCAACTGTCTGCTGCACTTGGGTACTGTCTGGTTGCCGAAATTAATTGTACAGCAGCAGTAACAACAACAGCTGCTGTTGCATGGATTAATGCAATGTGGCAGAGTTTAACAGCGGTAGCAAGCTGTGCCTCGTGTTAGGCTGAAAGGATAACGGGTGGGTGGCAAGTCTGCAAGCAACGCGACAACAGTAGCAATCCGAGAGTGCTGCATTTAGCTAGCATGCTAGACATCATCTATAAATGGTTCTTCTCCTTCCCTTTCTGGATCAACAATGTTTCCTCTACCCACCTCCCTTCCCTCCTTCCACTCTCATGAACATTACAGCTTAAAGAGTATGGAAGCCTAGCCATTGCTCCTCATAGCTAGCTAACTCTCCCTGATTGTCCCTTTCTACTACCCTTCGGAGTAAGAAGCCTCCCTCTTTCAGGGTGGAGTTTAAGGATTTCCTTAAGTGTCACACCTCTGGGTCCCTCCTCTCTACGGATCTGTGTGTGTCTATTTGAGCGTGTATGTCTGTGTCTGTCGCACAGCTTTTTGTTTTACGCTGAAAGCCTAGAAACGAAGCGGCCGCATCTCAGTGCATTGTATACTTTGGGCAAATGGAAGGACTGGAATCATCAGGCCCGATGACCAGCAACAGCTCGGATCCGTTGTTATCAGCCACGTTACCAAGTTCGTCACCCCCGCAACCGGATAACTACCGGAATCATATCCACGACGATAGTTATTCGGGCCATGGCCGTAGTAGCCCTCATAGTCAAACCGCTGGAGCAACAACGGCATTCAACCAGTACACCACGCTGACACCCCTTCAACCACTTCCGCCTATTTCAACAGTTACTAATTCGTCTGTCAAATTTAACCGTTCCACGGCAAGTCCTGCAGTAAGTGAATCAGCCTCAGGGGCTCCCTCTAGTAGTAGCTTGTTTTTCCAGCAAGCTCCAACAAGTTCCATACCAAGTTCTTTGAATTTCGGTTCATTTGCATATAATGTAAACATTAAATATGTCTATGATATGAAAAATGAACCGGATACGGAAGATGGTCAACCTGCTGATTCGAACAGTGATAGTAGGAATGAATACACTACACCGGTTACCTTACACCAGCAGCTTCATCAATTGACTGAACCATTTTCGCCTTCCCAATCACCGTATGTACCATCGTATAGTGGTGTCCTGGAACCGAAACAGGAAAAATTGGATTTTATCAGTTCAACCTCATACAATACTTTTAACGGTCCAAGCGATATCTTGGATACAGAAACTATGGAAACCGTCAAAAGGGTTCCTTTTTAAATTTCTTTTTTTCACTTTTTTTTCTTTTTTTTTTGAACGCATTAACCAAATTTGATGATAATTTTCAAATTCTGGAAAACGTTAGGGATTTATAGAGTAATATTTATACACAGGGGCAAATGTTATTCTTTAGGAGGCTTATCAAAACCAAAAACATACACTGATGGTATAAAACTGTGTGCAGATTCCATGAATTTTATCGGTATTATAATAGAAATAATAAATTTGGTATTATAGCAGCAGTAATAAATTGTTTTCAACCATCGATGATCATATTTTTCTTACTGGACCGGATTTTGAACATTATTTTGATAAAATTCCAGAACGGTTCCTCACCATTACAAGCTGATACAATATCGCATGCCGGATCACCGGATTCCGGGAGCGATATGGATGAGCTAAATACGAAAGATCTTGCACAAAGGATTTCTGCTGAACTTAAACGATATTCAATTCCCCAAGCAATCTTTGCGCAACGTGTTTTATGCAGGTTTCTCATCAAATTGTTTTCCGTCTGAAGTTTGCTTCATGGCATCAATAAAATCTTTAGGAATATCGTCAAGGATTATCATGTCACTCACTAAAGCGCACTTTCCAATGACGGCGTTATTGTATGTCAGATATCATATGAAAATTTTGACAAAAGTTTTATACGATATCAGCTTATCAGCCAAATCATTATTTTTAATTTGCGTACAAACAATATTGGCGAAGTATGATATGACTGATTGTTTCATGCAAGTGTAGTTTACTCGCATGCTTCCTTTCATAGAACATAACCCGTTTTCCGTCCCATCTCCACTTACGAGGACCCTCTTAATTAGCCTCCTCATAAGGCCCAAGCAGACAGCATACTTCCCAACCCACCTGCTTAATTAGGGATCAAAACCACTCATGCAAACCCTTCCCAAAACTAGACTTCACCCGCAACGTTGAAGAACTCTTCAAACTCCTATAGGTAGTGCGCAGAAATCTAAACAATGCGCACGCAACCTTGATTTCCCACGCAGAAATCTCTTTTATGAATCCACAAATTTGGCAGGCCACACTTTTCCACGCTACTAATCATATTCGGCTTGCAATTCTAAACGGTTTGTAAACTCTCATACAAGGCATACAAGAAAAGAAGGAAGGGCAACCATTACATTCTTGTTGAATGCGTATATTCATTCCTCGTCTTTACATTCTTGCATTTATTTTTTTCACGCCAATCTGGCAGTATTTCTTCATGGAGTGAATTTCTGGCTAAATTAAAAAAAAAAAAAAGGGAAGAAAAAAACATTTCAAAGGAAACTGTCAATTTGGAATTTCAAAGTAAGCTTAGATGATATTATGTATCACACAACCTTTGTCCTCTAGATCACAGGGGACGCTTTCGGATTTACTGAGAAATCCAAAACCATGGTCTAAGCTTAAGAGTGGTCGTGAAACATTCAGACGTATGGCGAAGTGGTTACAAGAACCGGAATTCCAACGAATGTCCGCTTTACGCTTGGCTGGTAATATTTCATCTCCTAGCCTTCTTTTTTTTTCCTTTTTTATTTAATAATTCAAAATTGTTGTTAATTTTTTCCTTTTCAAAAAATATAGCCTTAATTTAGAATCCAATTAATACATAATATTGAAGAGGATTTTGTCATTTTGTAATATGAATATGTATGATATTACCATAATTTAAGTAATGATATGGAATTGAAATAATTAATATAATTTTCTTCATTTATTGTTTTTAGCAAGCATTACTGTTTCAATGTTTGGCAAATCATGCAACGACTCAATCAGTCTCTGTATTCTGAAAACACAAATTCTGGATCTTTTTTTTCTTTTCTTTTTTCAAAGAGAAATAAGAGGAGAAGGGAAGGACTAGGAGGAGAAAAGGAAAGAAAGACGGGAAATTTTAACAGAAAAAAAAGTTATTTTTTTTAATCAGCTGAAAATCATAAATTGAACTGATTTACATGATACTGAGGTGAAACTGAAATAAGGTTATGTGGATGACATATGTCCTTGATGGTAAAGATAATGATGACCATTACGTGTGTGTTACAGCTAGAATGATGTGAATATATGACCGGATGGGAAGGGTGACACGAGTTTAGATTAACGAGCGGGCTGCAGCTGCTACTGTACCCACAGATGGTGGTTTTTCGTTCAATCCTTTCATCTGCGGGATTTCCACTTACCTCTGCGATCTAACTGTTTTTTGACCTTCGTCCACCTTTTTGTCCATCCTTATCCTTTGCCTCCCTCCTCTCGCTATTTCTTCTCCGTTCCCTTTTTTCCTTCTTGTTAACATAAATTTATGCGACAAATCTTATGCAAAATATACCATAAAATATTTTATTCAAATTTTCCCTAATAACCAGGCAATTATTTATAACAAATATTGCTGATTAAGGATACTCAAACATCTACTTGCTCTTTATTGTTACATTAACAAAAGGGGGAAAAAAAAAATAATTTGATTGAAAAGATTGAAAAGATGTTTCAGATACAATAACCGGCAATTATCTGTCAATCACAAACTATTCGTGTACCGTAAATTAGCTCCATCGTAATACTACAGCAGATTTTTTTTATTTATTTTTGTTGAACAATCTAAATATTCTAGTTTCGAATAATTGGAAAGGCTTAATTTAAGTATAGTAAACTATAGTTACATTTGATAGTTAACTCCATTAAGTATTTATGAACAAAGGAAAAAAAAAATTTTAAGATTTAGTAATAACAACTCCTTTTATAGTAATTTTTCATCTACAATTTCAACTTTAAAAATTAGTATTTATTCGACTTATTTTTACATCAGTTTCGGAATATAATTTATAGTTTGTTAATTTTAATTTTCATTTCATAACCTTCACTTGTTATTGAATTGTTTTTTAATATGCGCTTATTTTGCTCGAAAATCAGCTTTGTTTTTTTCGCAAGAAAAAAAAAAAGCATAATATTTGAGATTTTACAAATATTCCAAAGATCGAATTTTCTAATTCTCGTAACGATTGTAATCCTCTTAATGATCGAAAGAGTAGTTTAGTGATGATTTATTCCTCAAATAATTTGCCCATCAAACAAGGTTAGTAATTAGTATAGTGAGGATACAATAGATGAAAATTACCAGCGTCATCACTATCGTATAACTCAGTAGTATCATCCTTGAATACTTTGTCATATATTTCACATTTTTGAAGTGAAATTTTGATTAATTCGGTTGTCTGTTTAATATTACTTCCCCTTAGGAGTATAAGCTTTGATTCATTTGTTTTTAAAAATTATTGGCTTCAACAATTCTCAGCTGTCTCCTTTTTCCTTCAAATAATATTAATGATGCTAATGAGTTGTGTAAATTTCTATTAAAGGTAAAGAAAATAAAAATCTTATTTATGACAAATATAAGAAGGGGAAAAAAAAATGAGGAAAATAATATGAAGAAATTTTGTGAATAATTTTTTTTTTTTCTCATTAAACATTTGTAATCAAATTTTCCTATACAATTATTATTAAAATGTACTGTATAGTTTTTAAATCCCTGTGTGTTTAAGGCTAAATAGATGATGATGATAATGTTGCAGTAATTAGACTAAGTGATAATTGGACTACTGAGGTCACCGGTAAATCTTTTCAATATCCTCCTGGACCATGTTCCTTTGACCATCTATCCGCATGATATGAATAAGCTCATAGACCCTATAACATGCATCGACCTACACATCCATGTATATATACATACGCGCACACATACATATACACACATACATACACATACACATACACACACATGCACATATATATATATATATATATCACATTCATTATTAATGCATCATCCGTTCCAGATGTCCATTTTTGCATCGCTTTAAGTTTATTTTTCAATGGTTCATAAAAATTTAATTTGTAACAACTTTGCCTACGGTTATTTCGTTTCATCTTTGGGAGATGGAAAAACGGAAGTTCTCCGGTAAACAGGAAGGGATCTTAAATATTTTGATATATTTTAGTGTACAAAATTCAGATACTGACCTGCATCTTTGAAAACACATAGCACTGATTAGAGTTTCTCATTTATCATTAATACTTTTTTCCTTTCTTTTTTCTTGTTCAAAATTTCATAAATTTTTCAAGCCTTTTGATAGATATTTATGGAAATTTTGCAAAAAAAGAACGAAAAATTGTTGATCAGAAAAAAAAACGAAACAAAGTCATATTTTGGAAAAGTGATGTGCTGATATCACTTGCAGATTTAGTAAAAATAGTGGATTAACCTTATTGCCTGAAATTAGATGAGTCGGAAAAGGATCACTTTACGAAATTACAGACTGGAAGTTCAAAGAGTAATTTTTGTAGGATTAAATATGATTCTAACTTTTCACAAAAATCGCTGCATATATTCCATGAATGAGGATACCCATTATGATATAAGGAAATGTTATAAATCATGATGATACATCCAGATTAGTTTCATTCCTGTTGAGTTATTCATATTAACTTTCCCATTCAATTTCATTACATTCAGTTTGAAACTCTAAGTGATTTATAATACTGTAACAGATAAACAGTGAAACAAAATCTTTTTACATTATTACAATTTACTTTATGCAAATTTTATCGCATTTATGTTTCACATCATTTTCATTATTTTAAAATTTC